GGGGGCCCCCCGCTTCCCCCCTGGCCCTTGAAGGCGGAGAGAGCTCGCGTCTCGCTCAGCTTCAGGGTAGGTTCTGTGTCGTGAGTGCGCTACGGTATGAAACTTCTCCGAACAGCAGCCGCGGAGCCCCCACCGCTCTGGCTCCCGCGGGTGGCAGGTGGGGGCTCCTGGGGCCGTGCCAAGCGGCCAGCAGCACCCCGAGAGTGAGTTGTGGGACAAAACTGCTGTAGGGGCCGCCCTCGCCTTTCTGTGAGGCCGGGTACCTTCCCATCAGAGGCAAGCAGAAGAGATTTCTAGGAGTGCCCGCCCAGCCGCGCCCCTAACTTGGAGCTGAGAAAATGTACAACGGCACCCTTAGCAGGCTGGCTGCGCCGGGAGGGGGTGGTGCCGCGCCTACAAGAAAGCTCTTTTTCTTCGAAGGACAGTGGTGGGGAACGGGAGGACCTAGAAAGGCGGATACGCTGGCCCTTTTGGCGCTTGCACCCCTTGAGAGTTGACTGGAGCCCACATTTGGCGATCCCTCCCTTCCACCCCAAACCCCGTGTCTATGGAGTCTGTTTTGAGTTGCTGTGACAACAGTAGGTGCTGCCATGAGGGGCTTGCACACACCTCACCTTGAATCTGTGTGCTCAGCTTTCGGGGAAAATACTCCACCGGGGTAGAGAAGAGAAAACAATCTCCTCCCCCAAAAAGAAATGGAAGGAAAGCACAAGTGTGTAAAAAATATATCATTAGATCCTACAGTTAGCTGTGTCGTTTCCATCCCCAGCAGTATCAAACATCTCAACTGAGGAGCAATGTCAATATTTAGACTTGGACAAGCCAGAAAGTTAGAAGAGAGCGCCAAGCGCAGGGTTTTGACTTGGCTTTGCACGTCAGCACACAAGCTGTGCCTCTGGAGCTGACTGTACACATTTGCTGGGGGAAAAATGCATGAAAGTTGATATATACACAGAAGCATCAAGATCTCAGAAACTCTAGGAAGTTAAGAAAAGTTTCCCTCACTTTAAACTCCTCCAACCTATGCTGTTCTGGGAGCCCTGTTGAACTTCAGTCAGATGCTCAGCTTGAGGTTTCATTGGTTTGGGGCCACCCCACCCCCAACTGGGGCTGTGTGGCATATTCTACAGGAAACATTCTAAACTGCGAAAGTAATACTAAGTTATTAGTGATTTTCTTCTTTGTATGAGTCCTGTCATTATCATCAGATAGTAAAGAGTCAATAGGCCATTAAACTGGTTTACAAACTCTATTTAGAAATTTGCATTTCCTTTCCAATAAGCTTTTAGATGCTTAGAGAGCCAGTGGATACTAGAAAATAAACACAAGCTCTTTGCAGCATAAATAACATCTGCAAACTGCTCCACAGGTAGAGTGGGCAGTAAATTGTTATATCAAACTAGGTTTCCTGGCAGATTCCTGGATCATATTTGGTCATATTAGTTCAACCAGTCAATCTCATATGGAAGGCTTTGAAAAGTTATTGGGAAGCAATGAAATCATGCTCAATATTCTTCTTAACTTGCTTATTACTGTTAGTTGCCCAGCTTCTGAAGGTAGTGTAAATATTAAGTACACCTGGCAGTGTGTGATCACAGAGATAGGAATAGAAACACACATAACAGATTGATGTTATTGAAATAATAATGCAATTTATTAATTATACAAATATAATAAGAAAAAACAGAATTGCTTTTGTTGGCATTTTGTGTGCTCAGTTATGCATATCATAAATTCAGTGATTATTCTCTTCATTCTGACATTCTGGACTTTAGTTGTGATTATGTTGTCTAAAAATTCTATTGGGAGGAATAGCATGCCACTTCTATAACTTGTGTATTGTAAACTGCCTATAAAGTTTTCATTGTTCCCATCCATGAGTTTGTGGCCAAATGCTTTTTTTTTTCTTTAATCATTCCAAAATGCTCAGAAATGTATTTTCACAAATGCTACAAAATGTTACCCTAGCTATTTCAAGATATATTTGACCCACAGAAATGCCACTTCTACACTGACACTTAGCAGAAATAAAGTGGATTCTACCCTTTCTTGGGGAGAAGAGCAAACAACTGTGTTCCTGACAGTAAGATTTATAAAATATTTCTCTCTTTTGTGCAGGTAAGTCCAGCTGAGAGCAGGGTGTTCTCATCTTCACTTCCAGCAAGCCAGGTCAGTGTCTTTGTGCAAACCCATGACCACAGATAGACTGATGACATCCTGTGTCTTAATTCTGAACATGCATTTTAGAACAGGTTTCTTAGTCATTTGTCTTAAAAGGATTTGTTTTTGTCATTTTGTGTGCTCAGTTATGCATATCACAAGCTCAGTGATGATTCTCTTTATTCTATGAGTAAACTGGTATTAAAACAAGCCTTGAATCAGTTTGTCTTTTATAAAACTTTTTTTTTTCCACTTTGGAGATTCTGTCTGGTGCCAGACAATTGAGACTAGGGGGATCTGGAGACTCAATAATTGAGGTTTACTTCTGTCTTGATCTTAGCACTCTGGACCTGTAAAGAACTTGAAACAATAATAATTGATATTTATTTAGCATGAACTTAGACAGTGTGCTCCATTCTGTACATTTATGTTTTCATTCTGCCTTTAAAAAAAAAAAATTCCCATGAAGTGAAACTACTCTCTTGACCCCAGGCTATAAAGAAGGAGTTGGAAGTTCTATAGTTCTACATTTAATCCCTATAGTAAATAGCACAAATAGGATTTTTTTTTGAAGTTCTGTCTTAATCCAAGACATAAACTACTTCTTCAAAAATACTTCTCTACCAGGGAAATTTTAGGCAAAGAAATATTAAGTGATTTGTCTAGGACAACTTAATAATTGCAGTTTATACAATAACATTCAATAGCCCAGCCACTGCAAAAGAATAAATTCCACTCTTTTAGGTAAAACAGTGAAAATAATATAAGTATTTATGTATACTTTCTAGCATAACTCTGTCAAAAATGAGAAGATTTTTATCATGAGATCTCTGGCTTCAAGAATTTTATAAACAGATTTAAAAAGCAAAATACTAAACATTCATATATGAAAAAATAGAGAATAAATCAAGATAGAGCAAGTCAGAAGGCCAAATTGGGAGCCAGTGGTATATTTACAAAAAGTTCATCATTTTCCACTCTGTGGGTTTACTTTGCAATTCCATGTATGTATGAAGAAACTTTCCAAGCACATGTTTTGTCTGAATAGATGATAAATGAGTGAAAGTTTGGGAAAAGAGAATGTAGAAATTTCAACCCGATCGGGAGAGATTATGCAGTTGTCCAGAGCCATTAAGTTAAAATATCTCAATGACCTTGCTTCAAAAGCTTCATAACAAAATCATGGACTGATTGACTCTGCACAGCATCTTTGAAAAAACACTATAATTTGATATGATGTTTACAAGTGCTATATTCCTTCTGGAGCCTCAGTTTGTCTGAAAGGTGCTATAGAAATAGATTTGGACACATAATACTAAAGTCCTGGAAATGGGTAACATCTGAAGTTTAAGCAGGATGTTTTTAGTTTGTGTCTGAATTTACAACCCTCTCTTACCCCCTTTTCCCTCCCCCTCCTTTTTTTGAGGGGTGGGTAGAATAATTTGTAACAGTTGTTAATCCTTCTTAGGGAGTTTTCTATAAAGGAGTAATAAAAAATGAAATAGGAAACAACTTACTAAAGAAAACCTTTAGATAATTATCTTTTTAATGTCCACATACCCCCAACTCAAGCTAAAAGCTCTAAAAGTGTAATTAGTCAAGAGGCATTTTTAAGCATTTAAGGGGTTGTTGAACCCATCCTCTATAGGAGCTTTGTCCTGTAAAAGTTGCTCATCATGGATTGTTAGAAAATAAATCATATTCCAAAAGAGCACTATTATTATCAGGAAGATCCCTTTACAGGCCAACACCTGCCAACCAATATATGGTTAGTTTTGATAGTGGTGTGTCATAAAAACATCAATATTACAACTCTAAACCCATAATTTATTTAAAGCAATAAAATTATACTGCCAATTACATAATGTTAGAGCCAAAAGAAATTTGGAGATTAGCATGGTATCTCTAATAATTATCACTTAATTAGTAATCAATCACTTGTTTCCTTTTTTGAACTTCAGAAGGCTTTGGTTAATAGGCATCACTTGCCTCTTTTAAAATGTCTAGAAACATTTGAACTCTTGCTGGCTTGAGTTGGTGAATCTGCTTATATAGAAAACAGAGAAAATTTTCAAAACTTTCTTTTGGTCTATCTTTTAGAAAACAAGCAGTATAGTCTCGTGATAGGAAGCACTCCCCTTTGGCTTCCCATAATTGGGTCCTTGGATTCCTCTTCTCTACCCAGGCTTTCCACCAGTCTCACAACATTGAAACAGATCTTAGAAAGGGAAGGAATAGGATGTCACAAAAAAACTGGAGAGGGAAAAGGGCAGGAGGTAGGAGAGTATGTGAGTGATGGGGCAGGGGAGAGAAAGGAAAAGCTTTGGGGGGATGGAGGCAAAAGGCAGTCCCTCAAAGTGATGGGTTGTTTACAGATAGGTTATTTATTTGCATTTTATTTATTTATTTATTTGCTTGTTTATTTTCATTTATAGACAAAGTAAAGCCACCCTCTCTTCCTCCTGGTACCTTTTGTTACTTATGCCCAGAGGGTAGAAATTAGAAAATGGGCAAATAAAGATCTTAACAGCCTCTTTCTAGGTTTTCTAGATGTTGAGGACTTTTCCTGTCTTCAAATACTCCCTCCAGCTGTGCCACCAAAATATGTCCGCTTGTCTCTCTTTTCCAGTTTTATTCACTAAAGGGTGAATTAGCATGTTTGACAAAGAAAGTAAGCAATGCCAGTAGGTCTAGAAGAGAGCAATTATATTTCTCCACGCTACACCTGAGTTTATTTATTGAACAGACACAGGTTAATGGCAAGTTCCCAGTGTTAATGAGGTTATGATCTCAGGCTCCATCCCTCTATGGAGAAGTTTCCTTTGAACTGTTATCCAACCCTAGGCCAAACCCTTAATGACCCCTGCAATAAATACAGCCAGCACTTCTTATGCTCCTGGTGGAGACGAGACACTTCAGCTAATATTCATTATCAATTCCAGTTCTATGGAAGCACAGAATGGAACTCAGAGATGTTAAGTTAAAGAGCTAATACAAAGCAGAGCTTTATAAAAAGAAACACTTTAAACCATTTCATTCCAGATTACTCTTTCAGATGGCAAGAGTAATAGAAGTTAAGATAATTATTCTTTAGGTTTTTATACCCTGAATTACCTCACAGTCTTGCCTGTAATAAGTCTGCCAACTCTTCAATTCATTTCTAATATATTTTGATGCTAGTCACAGTTGTAAACAGTTGAGTCAAGGAGAGTTGAATTGTGGAGCCAGGAAAGTCCTTCAGGGTACTTGGTTCAACGTCATGTAGTTGATAAAATACTGGCACCCGAGAGAGCCATGCAACTTGACCACTCAGTTAATAAGTGACACCGTCTGAACCGAACCCAGGTTTCCAAATCCCAGCCAGGGCTCAATTCCATTACATAACACTGCCTGAAAAGTGCCAAGTCTTCTAAACCCTCCAACTTAGCCAAAATTACAACCACCAAGTCCAAAATACATCTGAAACCTAAGGCACATCCAGAAATGGGTGATAAGAGGATGCCAGCAGTATAAAGACATGTACTAAGAGAAACCTCAGTTATCTACACTAGAGTCTAGGCAGAACAGTCTTTTACCCTCTTAAAAAAAATAGCACCCCAAACTCTGATTCTGTCCATGCTCTCAGTTGAGCAATCTACTTGTAGCATTTTAATATTGACTGAGCTTTATCTTTTTTGTTTTAAATTAGCTGTCTGCCTTGGGTGAAATATTTCCTCACTTTCCTCATCGATAAATAGGAGGAGTATCACTTCCCTCGGAGGATTACGAGGATGTTATGAAATCACACATGTGAAACACATAGTAGATGCTCAGTAAGGCTTAGGTTTCTTCTTTGCCTTTCCAGAGAATCTCAAAGGAAAATGTTATGTTGGGATAGTCAAACCATTTCACCCCTAAATTTACTGGAGCCATTGAGTTCTGATATCATCTAGTTCGTTATGATAACCCTTTTTTCCTTGATTATCTCTGGGTACAGCAGCCCAGGCATAAATGTATTTATTTTCCACGTACCCCTAGGGTTGATAAAGGTTTACTTGAATTATTTTATGGCTTTAGTTTCTATCACAAACTAATGGCAAGTTCCTCTTGGAGATTTTCTCCCGGACCCTGTTTTAAGTATATTAACTCGCTTTTCACACAGACCTTTGCTTCTCAAAGCATCAGTATTTTTTCAGCCAAATAACTAAGAAAGATTGCCAAAGAATGATCGCTAGTAGAAAACTTTTGCTTTCAGTTTTTATGTGCATGTGACTGACTTTTCCTGTCTTCATTTGGAGTGATTGCCAGAATGAATATGGGGTAGGGGTAAGCTATGCTCTTTTCCTTCTGGTATGTTGACGACTGGTGTATTGGTAGGAAAAGGTGTAAACACTCCAGTTTCCTCCTTCAGCCCCAGCTCTTGATAACTACCCTGGCCTCAGTGACACCTCTGGAAGGTGTCTCATCACACTCCTCGCCCCAGCTGCTTCACTTGGTCTGGTGGCACTTGCTGCCCTGCTTTGGACTTTTGGAGTCAGGTCTTTGGCAACACATTCTATTCATCACACCAAAGCTCACTGATATGATATGTTTTCTTATTTTTGTGCCTGTTTTTCCTTCTTTTTATTAATAACCAAGCGACCTCAAATAGATTTATTTTCCTGGTGGCACAGTTTCCCTTTTTAGTATCTGGCAAATTATATTGCAAGATGTACGTCCTTTTCTTCAAGTTTAGGAGTAGCAGTTATGTGTTTTTCTCAAAGCTCTGAAGTGGCTAAACCTGGGTTGGAGGCTTAGGAATAAACAGTTGCTAGATTGTCCCTGATTTTATTATTACAGTCAAGTTGGTTCTATATAAGCTTCAGTTTTCATCAAGGGATTAATTATTTTTAAAGCAGTGTCCAAACTTATTAACGTGTGAACAGCAAGAATGGGCATCTTGTTCAAAGACACTTTCTGGTTCCAGGATTTCTTAGGTGGGGCCTGAGATGGTGGGATTCTAACAAGTTCCCCATTGATCCCAAAGCTGC